GATAACCTCCAATCCTGATGCACACGCGACCCATTACACATGAATGCAAATCGATAGTTATACGTGAGGCATGATGAAGAAGATGCCACACACATAATGGTCAGCCATCTGCCATAACATAACAAAAGAAGAGGAAGATATAGGCTACCCTCTAGCAGTCCTCCCATGAAGCCAAGCATGCTTACCAACACATAGGGGGCTGAAAATTCTACCTAGACAATCGAAATGCCTAAAGTGTTTTTCAATAGAAATGCCCTGCCAAAAGACAGGGGGTTGAAAATCAAACCATAGCCAAAATTGTCTTTGGCAAAACATTTCCTATCAAGAGAAATAGGGGACTGGAAATCAAAACACTAGCTAGAAATTGTCTTTTGACAAACTACTTCCTATCGAGAAGCATGGGGCTGAGAACTTCGCCAAATGATCATTATATTGAAATGCTCCTCAACAGAAAGCACTCTGTCAAAAGACAGGAGGCTACGTATATCAAAGCAATCGACCCCAATAATCAAAATAGCCAATGCCAAATCTCAAAGATAAAATCAACAACCAATGGAGACAGACTCAAAACAACTGCCCCCACATGTCACCCAAATAGCACAAAAATACACCAAAGATAGAAATACTTATCGATAAACTCACACTTAACAATAACCAGGGGGGTTAACAATCTACCCAAATTAAAAATTAAATATACGCACAATCCGCTACGCACCTCAATCAGGAACAAGAACACTCATAGGGCCCAACCAAGTGAGCATACATTCCCAACTAGGAAACCCCTTGTAGGAAATCGTGAAGGGTCACAAAAACAAGAAACCACGATACTCATGATTCTCCACACCAATCCTCTAGCCTTGAAACAATGACCCTAACAAGCGCAATAATCCCCCAACTCAAAACATATCCCTTACCCTGCTACAGACCCCCAAAACGAACCAACGACACAAATGCTTATTGACAAGCTCACACTTACCAATAAGCAAGGGAGCGAATTGTATGTACATGTTGTCCATCACGACTACAATAGCACAAAAGGTGCTAAACCAATGCTACAGAGACACCCTTGATGAGTTCACAACTTGGCACATATTTGCAATGAGCTCAAAGCCTACACAGACTTGCGATGAGCTCAAAGCATGCACGAGCTCGCAATGAGCTCAAGGTCACTACAGACCTATAATGTACTCAAAGCCACACTACCGATGACGAACTCGAGGTCGCCACGGACCTGCGATGAGCCCAAAGCCATCGCGAGCTTGCGATGAGCTTAGAGCCATTGCGAACCTACGATGAACTCAGAAACACCGTGAACCTACAACGAGCTCAAAGACATCACGAACATGTGATGGGCTCAGAGCCATCACAAATCAGCGAAGCAAGTAGGGATGGGAATGGGGTTGGGATTTCTAGACCTGGTGGGGTTCGGGGTGGGGCATTTGAGTTTGGAGTTGGGGTCAAGGCATGTAAAATCCGGTCCCACCCCGCCCCATTGCCATTCTTAGTGTTAGTTTGGTATAGGGGTTCGAGCTAAGCCGATATTTGGCTTGCTAAGAAAGCATGAGGCTCGATCTTGGTTCAAGCTAGAGACTAGAGGTCGAGTTTGGCTTGAGTCAAAAGCTTGTAGTTGTAAGCTTGAGCTTAGCTTGGGTCGAACTCGACTGTGAGCCAAATGTTTTATAAAAATAATAAATTATGTACAAAAATTAATTTTTATTTGATATTTAAAAAATAAGAATTATAATAATTAGTTATTATTATATATAAAAATAAAAATATTATATATATAACATTTTTATTATATATATTATTTATATATGTATAATATTTTTATATTTATGTATGTATGTATGTATGTATGTATGTATGTATGTATGTATGTATGTATGTATGTATGTATGTATGTATGTATGTATGTATGTATGTATGTATGTATGTATGTATGTATGTATGTATGTATGTATGTATGTATGTATGTATGTATGTATGTATGTATGTATGTATACATATATATAGAAGTTCGATTAGGATCGGGAGCCTCATGAGCCAAGCATTATTAGGCTCGAGCTCAGCTCCATTAGCAAATGAACTTATAAATTGGTCTCTAGCTCGTGAAAAGCTCGGCTTGTGGCTACCCCTAGTTTGGTAGTTGGCACTAAAACTTTTGCCAAATTTTCTTGATAATGGAGGGCCAGGAAAGGTTGTTTGGGTCTAGGACTTGGTTGGCTTGGGCCCAAACTGCATTATGTGCTGGCTTCACTCTGAGCCTAATATTAACAATATTTAGGGCTGTTCGGGCCTGATCCAAACTACACTCTAAGTCTAATAACATATGTCTAGGCCTGGGTAGGACATCTGGGTTTGCCCATGTTAATTGATAAAATTATGATTTTTACTAATTAGAGTTTTAATTTAATTTTATAATCAACTTATAAAAAATAGAAAACATTATGTATATATTAATATATTATACCATATATATGTAAGATATTATATCTTACCATATACTGGAAGAACTTTGACAAATCAAACATGCCCCCCATGAATTTTAATAAGGGTAAACCTCTTAACTACCCCTACTATTCACGAAATTGACACATGGTACCCTTACTGTTTAGCCATTGTCTTGCGGTATCCTTAAGTCTTCGTACACACGTGACACCACGTGATGTATAAATTTTCTTTAAAGCCCAATTTCGCCCTTCGTCCCTCTCCCTTCTTCTTTACCATCCCTCTCCCTGGCGGCAGCTACAGTGAACCACTCTGCAACCGTTCCCTTATTGTTCGTCGCCGTGGTTGGAAGTTATAGCGGTGGCGGTGAGACCCATCGGAGTTTGAATCAGATTCCATCGTTGTTTGGGAAAGAGATGGAAGGTGCCAAGAGCAGCATGAGGCTTTGCCACGGTACTCACCCATAAGATCGGGCTTTGCCAAGAGATGGAAGGTGGCAAGCCCACATCATATCAGACTCTAGATTTCAATTTGAAGGTCGTTGGATGATGCGCCATCAGATTAGGCTCCCATTTCTTCGCCCACATCAGATCATGCTCCATATTTTAGTTTGAGCCCTGTCTTTGTCAGAGCCCTATCTTTGTGCAAACGGAGGTGGTGGTGGTCGTGATGGTGGTTCCGGCCGAGGCTCCATCCATGCACAGGTGGGGCTTTAATTGAGGTTTTTCCACCTGTCTTCGTTGGAGAGCAGGACGAGTTGAAGTAGGACGACCTCAACTGGAGAACTAACATCTGGTGAAGGAGCCAGGATGAATCATGCCTTTCACTTAAGGGGTGACACGCCGGTGGTGCCGATGGTGAAGCAGGTGGTGAAATTTTTGAAATTGAACAAGGCCATCATCATCATATTGCAGTGGTGATAAGCTAGCTGAAAGGTGGTCATCATTTGATTGCCATGGCCATCTCGTTCAATTGGTAGCTTCGCTGTGTTTGGTATGCAGATGCTGGTGCCACCAGCGACAATTGTAAGCACCTCATCGACTAAACCAGAGATGCGGCGGCGAGGTGAGGTGGGGAGCTTGCAATCAAACAGGGACGAAGGGGAGAGAGAGAGAGAGAGAGAGAGAGAGAGAGAGAGAGAACGAAGGAGAGGAAGAGAGAAAGAGTGGGAGGGAGCCCTTTGCCGGAGCTGCCGTCGCCTGTGACGGCTGTGCCGAGAGGGAGAGAGAACGAAGGGCTTATCGCAGGCACAATCATCATTCTCTCTCCCTCTCACAGCCGTCACAAGTGGTGGCAGCCACCGGCGAGGCTCAACCTATGCCACCCACTCCTTGGGCTCTTCTTCCTCCATGAAAATAACTTATTCAATTCGGTAGCCACCGGCGAGGCTCAATGTGCTTCGAACAAGCGATGCATGTCAGCATTTTGGGTCTCATCGATTGTTATCAACCGGATCTTTGCCGTATATAGGGAACCAACACAAAAAGCAAGTTGTAACGATGAGGGGGAGGACAAGGGTCCTTGAATCCGTTTGTATAAACAAAAATCAAAGGAGAAAAAAAAGACATGCATGAAGTTTGAAGATTCCAATTTTCCCGAGGCGCTGGAAATACAGACCGACGTTCAGATCTGCTGCGATGAATGGGTGGGTATTGATTAATATTGTGTGATTACCAAACTTTTGTAGTTCAGAAGTTGCAGAAAAGATGATGAAATTTGAGGAATAATGGATGGCAAATTTAACATTTTGTTTCCTTCCATTAGCATTTAATGGCAATGACAATTGTCAGAAAACTTATGGGTACCACAAGACAATAGCTAAACAATAAGGGTACCGTGTATCAATTTCGTGAACCGTGATTAATTTAAGAGATTTACCCTTTTAATAAATACCACCTTTATGATACACATTAATTGATTACAAGTTTTTCTGCTATATATACGTACATACATAAATGATTATCCCTAAGGTCTCGACCTGGTCAGGCCTAAAAGAAATATGGCCACCTGGGCTTAGAAATTTTTGGGTCGGGCTGGGCTGGCTATACTAGCCTAGAATGAAATGATCAATCTATGTAAAAGATGTTCTTTATTTTATCCATCAAAATATTAAAAAAACCCAAAAAAGTAAGAAAAAATCGTTCAGTCATTTGGATTCTTTTAAAACTTAGGAAATTATTGAAATTGACTTTACCAATTTAATACTTTCTCCAAAAAAAGTTGTAATAACTTCTCATAAACCAAACGCAGCCTTATAAGTTGCAAGTACGAGATGATGAATTTGAATTCGATGACGATGATGATGAGAGAGAGACGTTCTGGGTTTTGCCTCTAAGGCTAAGTCGAAGTCACTACAGGTCGTAGGCTCGTAGTGGAGACTTTGGGATCGAATCCCGCTTTCACCTGGGCTGGGGAATGGGTTACCTACTTGTCCAGCTGTGTAAGTTGTAACCCCTCCAAGATATTAAAAAAAAAAAAAAAAAAATCACTGCCACCAACCAAGACCGAAAAACAGATGCGAAATACCAAATACCCCCCACCAAGGCCCCAACTACCCACCACTAATTCCAACGCCTCTCATCAATTAAAACGCTCCTCTCCGTCTCTCTTCTTTGTTGCTTCGTTCTTCTCCTTCCTCTGCCTCCAAAGCTCAGCCTCTTTCCCTCCAGTTCCTGCCTCACTCTAATTCATCAGTCTACCTACACTCCACACAGGCTTTGGGGGGGTCTGGAGTTGGACCCTTACCGATCTGCATCTTTGTTTCTACTGACTAAGAAAGAAGAAAAGATAAAAATGGGTGCTGATGGTAAGGTCTACACCTTAGCAGAAGTCTCACAGCACAACAATTCTAAGGATTGCTGGCTTGTTATTGGTGGAAAGGTAACTTAATTCAATCAAATAGAGAATTTTTCTGTCTTCTTGGTTTAATCTCTCAACCCATGTGAGATAACAGTTACTTGCATGTGATTTTACTGATGGGTGGTCGATCAGATCAGATCGACTTCAATTATGTAACGTTGTACGTTGGATCTGTTGTTTGGGTTGTTGTAATCTTTGGATCTGGATTTGTTTATTGAGGGATTATCTGCATGAGTGAATTGGTTTTGCTCTCTTGCTCAGTCCTAAATACAGTTTATTGCATAAATGTATTTTCTTTCAGTTTTGGGGCTTTTTCATCTCCCCTTCGCTCAGTATGTGGAATCAGTAGCTTACATGTTAAGATGATAAATTGTGTGTCAGTATGCTTGCTGTGTGGCTAGCGTGTGGGATGCTTGTGTTTTGTCAGACAGAGGGTTTTATTGCCCTTGTCAAGTTGGAGGAAATATTTGCCATCTGGGTTTATTTTTTTCTTGTTTTTCCCGTTTTCATGCCGGTAAAGGCTTTTCTTGGCAGGGTTATCAATTATTTTACTTGGCTTTGCATATCATATATTATTTCTTCTGGACCACTGCTACTAGTGGCTGAAAGCAAGCAAGTGTACTTCTTTTCTTTTTGCTTTATTAGTGAGTAAAGGATCTGCTCTCAAGCATGGCTAAACATGGTTTTATGGATCTACCTTAATTGCAAAGCTGTAGGTTGGGGGATATTCTTTCATCTTTATGCCTATACCTTCTCTATTCTGTTGTTCAATTGGTGTTCAAATTAGCTACAGAATTTTGACAGCTTTACGTGTCCTGTTAGCCTTCTATACAATTCTTGCTTCTTTTCAGAGCATGCAGAGTAGTCTTGACCTTGTCAAATTGGTGGTACTACTTTTCAAAATTGGTTCAATTCACCCTCCATGATGCAGAGGGATTTCAATGTGTTGTTCACTTGTTCGTACAAAGCAAATGAAATAAGATGAACTTTTAACTACTTTTCTTACTCAGTGGACCATTTAAACTACACTTCTAATGGCATTTGTCTTAGTGGGAACTATGTCTAGGAGGTTTTTGACATGGATTGCCATGTACTTTGGAAATAGGTAGTTGTGTGTGATGTCTTTTAACTTTTAATCAAATGTTTGAATATAACATGCTTTGTCACATAACAAAGGAAAAACACACAAAAAAAGAGAACTTTCAAAGCACTGTTATTCATTATCTAGCATACATTTGATTACCATGGTTGTATCACTTATTTGGGTATTTGGAAGTCACCTAGTTTTTTTGCAGCCTTTTAAAAAAGTGAATGAAAATTGAAATGTGGTTATTTAGGGTTCCAGCAAATGAACCCGTCTCTATTTTTATTTATATTCCGATAATGTTTCATTTTATGTTATGAACTTATGGGTTCAAATGTTTTGAAGAACGATAATGAAATGTTTTCATTCCAAGTGGCACCTAAATAACACAACAGAGGATACCATCCTGACTAAGTTAACCAAGATCTAATGTTGTATATAATGGGTCACTTTGGAATTGTGTTTCCTTTAAGCAAATATATCTGATAAGTTCTTAGTGGTTGCTATAATTATGAAATGAGTCAAAATGGGTCACTGCATGCAATAAGATTTACTATTTGCTATAATTATTAATTGAGTCAAGTGTATTCTATTTGTTGGAACTTGGAATTATTGGGGTGAATACTTGACTTACACATTGTTTTAGATCTCCTAGGCAGATTAACTTTTTATAAAATTTACTACTTGTCCCTATTATGGTTTTCCTTGTTATCTTCACTTGTTTTTGTTTTTATTGTTTCACAAGTTTTCGTATTTTCTGCACCATTCTTTCCTGCTCTAGTTTCTATGTATTTGTTTCATTAACTAAATTTGTAAGATTGAGTTGTCTTACTTATTTCAACTTTAAGGGCAGCCCAGTGTACACAGCCTTACCCTGAGGGTGTTTCCAAGATTTGAACCCTGGTCAGGTTGCAATGGAGCAACCCAACTGTTGAGCCAAGGCCCACCGTCTATTACTTGTCTCAACTTTGTAATTTTTTATTGAGTGCTCCCTTTTTTGGGTGGTGGATGAGATTGGTTAGTACTTTGTAATACAGAATATCTGGGTGCAACTTCTATATCTAACGGAAACTCCATGTTACATGATTTTGTGATTTTACGTTTATCATGGGCAGCAGAAAGGCATCTAAAGGATCTGTGCCCCCATAGTTAGTTAGTTACCAATACCATATACTATTTCATCTCTTCCGCCCTTCATTTGCTGGAGCCTAAAGTCATCTGGAAGGAAGACGGGCAATCAGGCACACAAAAGTAAGCATTCTAGGGAATAGTAGGCGTAAGCAGTATGCAAAGGGAGTTGTGGTTAGTAAGGCATTCACCCATTGTTGTTCCCTCTTCATGATAAGAAACTGAATGCCCTTGTTCTTTGATGTGAGGGCCTAGTTTCTATAAATTATATGAGAGGATCTTGGCTAGATGGGTTTCTTCTTGGAGGTCAATGACATCCCTGATACTGAGAAAAATGCCTTTGCCATACTTGCTACTCGATGATCAGTCAATGAGTGTTCTGAGATTGATTGACCATTAACTGGACCCAGTCTGACAAGCATTATGTAACATTGCATTTATCATCATCATGTACGTCTCGTCCCAACTATATGGGGTCAGCTACATGAATCCTGTTTCGTGATTCCAGTTCTGTTCAGTGGTAAATAATATGCACTTAAATGGATGTAGTCTTGTTCTCTCTATTTTTGAATTTTAAGTTTGGTATATCTGTTTGGTGTCCTCTTTTTTGTTGACGCTGAATTCCACATTTCAATGTGTTGGAACAGGTATATGATGTTACAAAATTCTTGGAGGATCATCCTGGGGGTGATGAAGTTTTGTTATCAGCAACAGGTATTGACATAAAATGACAAATAAAATATTTAAAACATCCTTGTCCTTGTTTAAAAGTAATCGGGATATATGTACCATGCTTGTGGTATTTGGGTTGCAGGGAAGGATGCAACTGATGATTTTGAGGACGTTGGGCACAGTAGCAGTGCGAGAGCAATGATGGATGAGTACTTTGTTGGAGAGATTGATGCATCTACCATCCCCGCAAAGACCAAATACATCCCTCCCAAACAGCCTCACTACAACCAGGACAAGACTTCGGAGTTTATCATCAAGCTACTTCAATTCCTGGTTCCCCTTGCAATCTTGGGGTTGGCTGTTGGTATCCGCTTCTACACCAAATCAACCTCCTAAGTGGTCAAGAACATTGGTAGACAGTATTCCATAATAAGTTTGTTTCAGTGGTCAAAGACCCCTTCAAGTGATCTGTTTCATTGTAGTTGTTACAACCCAGGGGGCTAGTAGGGCAGTTAGTTTGTCCGGTAGCATAGTAACTTCTGTACTGCGAAAAATTCACTTGTTTCTAGGTTTATTTTTATTTTCGTGCAAGGTCTGGGCATTTCTTCTTTGTTAAACCTACCATCTGAAATCTCTCTTGGTCTTGGTTTTTTTTTTTTTTTTTTTTTTTTTCTTATTGTCTATGCAACCCTGGGTTCGCCGCCAGCTTCACAGTAGGCTGAAGGTATTACAATCTTAACAATAGCAAATTATGCCTTAGACCTAGATTCTTTTTTTTTTTTTTTTTTTTTTTTTTTTCTTGGGTCAGTTTTCCATTTTGCATTTCATCTTGCAGAGTTGACAAGTCATTTTGATATTACTGGTTAAGGAAAACATTAGAGTTGAAAACATTACCTGGAGGCACTGTTTTCTTTATTGACAGGTAGTTGGGCATTTAATCTAGACCATGGGTACTGTTCCAGCCCTTGGAAAGGCTTCCCAAAGTGGTTCTCTGCTCATGTTGAATCAATTTGTCATCTAGTCTACATTGGCCAAAATTTGGCCAACCATGGATTCTAAAACAAAAATTGCACTTTTTGGATGAATTCAGATGATCTCACTGACAGCAGGTATTAAAATAGTTTTCAACATGTCATTTGAAATGAAATGCACTGACGGTTCTCGGTCAGAGTATTCATTTCATTCAAATGTTGAGGTACCTCTTTGGTTTTCTATTGAACTAAATCTTCACATGTTTATGATCATCTTAACATCCAAACAAGCGCCTTCATCTGGGTCTACCCTCAAATTTGATGCTGAACGTTGCTCTTTGGTTTTCTATTGAACTAATGCTAGGGCGTGGAAATTTGGAATAAGGCTTTGGATGATGAACAATGAAACAAGAATAATTGCTTTTGTTCAAAGATTTTACCACTATACCAACTAAAATTTCAATACTTAGATGGCTTCGGTTGTCTGTAAGGTCCAATAGGTTTGACTATGATGCAAAAAATATGTAATATATAAAAAACTTATAACCAATCAACTGGCATCATAGATTTTCCTTGTCCAATAATACAGATACTACAAGACAAAGCTTCCAATGCTACCCAAAGTCACGTGAGATAAATGCTGGCAACTATTTCTTCTGGTGAAAGCCCGGAAAATTTGGGACATTGATACAATGGGTGGAGAAATTTTAGCCACAGAGCCCAAATTCCAAACCCTATAAAGAAGATGCGGATCAGCTATATCAAGCAACCAGTATGCAAATTAATTGAACCAGACGACAGTGTAGCATTGTAGCTAGTTCTGGAAACAGGGATGCTCACCACATCCTGGCTTTGCTTTGTTGTTGCCTTTGAAATCTAAATCCATATTCTCCCCTTTGACCCCATTTTGCTTGTAAGTTGTAATAGGTTTCTTTTAGACTCAGATCTTTTTTTGGTAAATTATTTATCCAGGTAAGTGCATTTACCCATGTTCTTTTATTTTTCAGGTAAATAAAATAATGATCATTTTAGCCATAAAAATTTCATTATCAAAAGGGGCATTTTTGTCCTATCCAAATATTGACAACTTTCCCCTAGATGGGAAAGTTAATTTATCCACCTAGGAGATGGGTATCACTTACCCGGGTAAGTGTGACATAAGAAAATAAACTTTCCCTGTTCCCCATATGAATCTGATAAAAGAACATGGGTTAATCCCATTGACCAACTTTCCCCCCTCTCAAAATCCCAAAAAAGAATGCCCCCTTAGTGACACTATTCATCAAGTTTTCAGTCTGATCCAGTTTTTTGTTCGATAAAGGTTGAAGTAGCTGAACTGAACTGAATGATTTATTGATTTGCTACCTCCTCCCTTTCTTTGCTTCTGGTGAGAAAAATTAAGAATAACCCAAGACACCACGTCCTGATGTATTCAAGTTCCCATGGATAGTTGTCCGGCCTGAGTCTGTTGGAGCTGGGGAAGATCTTCTACATAGTCCCCAACTACATTTATAGCTTATTACGTTCACAAACATCAAAACCTCTACCAGCAGTTTAAACAATTATTTCTAGTTGATTCTTGGACTGAATGAGACATTTCCGTGCTAAAGACAATGATTCAGAGTAATATGATTGCAGTGTACAATCACCAATGACTACAACAGACAATAATGAACTAGAGTTTAGAAACTTCCACAGGGTAACTCCATTGGCCAGGAGAGTATTTCAAAGAAAAACAATTTGGTTGAGTTTTAATTTGTAATTTGCAATAAAAGAAATCTTTCATTCTTATGCTACTCTTCATGATATGATATAACAATTCATGGCTTTCGTCCTCCTTTTCTGGAAGCCCATTATTGTCTATACAGGAGGTTTTCTCATTTTCCAAATGGAACTTGTAGACAACATTAAGCTCAGAGGAATCTAACCATGGTGCTTCTTCTCTTTAATATCGGATGAAATGGTTTGTCTGTAATTTGTAGTTAGTGATGATTCTAGGTCAGATGTCGCCATAAACATTTAAATTCTATTTAAGTCTTAAACTATAACTCCACCAATGTGAACTTGTTTTACACCACTGGTCCCAAGCACAAAAAAAGGAGGGTTGCGTCAAGTTGGCAAACGACACTAAAACTTTTGCCAAACAGGATTCATATAGCCGACCCCATATAGTTGGGACAAGGCTCAAATGATGATGATGATGATGATTCACTATAACTCATAATTGTCAAGGCAGGCACCTGGATTTTTTTTTTTATCACTAGACACCTGGACGACAAACATGAACTTTTGAAGATTTCAAAACTTGAACCAATGAGAAAGGAAGAACTTGAAGATTTTTTTCCAATTAACATACAAGACCAACCACCCCTTCTCATTTTTATTTATTATAAGTTTTTTCCTTTCATTTTTCTTGGACAATTTTTTTCCTTTTCTTTCACCCCTTTCGTTTTTCTTTTCTTGGGGCAAAAACAAGGGCTTTTCTTCTATACTTTCTGAGAGTTTTTGTTTTCTTCCTTTTGTTCTTTTTCTTCTCATGAATATGCTGATTTTCTATGTTTTGATATAAATACTTATTATTGATAACTATTAATGAAGGATGATTGTTGGTTGCTGTGAAACCTAAGGAATTACCCTAGGATCTATGCTTTTTTTTAAATGTGTCTATTGCCTAGGCCACAAGAGGCACTCCTTTGTCTCCTTGCTTCACTTTGGTGCCTTAACTACTATGCTATGTACATTCTCTAACTTTATAAAATTCAGTAGTTAACCCTCCCCAAGAATCCCCATTATATCTTAGTTTACTACTCTATGAGAGCACTTGTAGAAGCACCAAGTTGTTCTGTTGCCCCGAGTATTTGACAAATACAAAACATACACATACAACTCGAATTTGAAAAATAGTTTCCATGGTAATTACATAAACGTTTTGAGAGAATTAAAAGTTTTAAGAGGGTTTAAATGTCATTTAAGAACATGAAGTTGCAAACTGGAGAACTTCAGACATATGGAAGCAATTTTTGGTCTCAAATTTGTATCACTAGTAGGCAAGTGATGATCAAGTACGTGGTCCATTCAAGGCTACAACAAACTTGTGCCCTTCTGATGTTCTTATATTTTTGTATTTATTCATTCCAAGAAGCCACTGAATGGTTGTAAATCTTGTACACCCAAGTTGTAAATGTATAGCTGTACAGAGAGTGCAACATTTCAGCACCATTGTTTATTAACAAGGATTGTAACATCTATATAGCTCAGGATCACTGTCAACAGTTCACTACATAATAAAGTTGATGTTTGTGCAAATGGCCTGTGTTGATATTAACATATTGCATGTACAACATTTACAGCATACCATAAAATTTCTTTATTTTTATCTTCATTATTGTTTTCTTTTTTTGTTAGTTGGCATTGTTTGGAATCTAATAAAATTTGACTTGCAATTGATTTGATTTTTGGGATAAACCAAGTTTGGGATAAACGATATTGAAGGCTTCTTATGTCTTGAAGATATATAAAAATTTCATACTATTGAACTTGGGTATAGAAGGTACTTTTTCTTAAATAGATAAATAAAATTAAAAAGAAAGGTGTCTTTTAAAAGGTTCTTGAGAGCTTCAAGGTGATCAGTGGAAAAACATGGTGACAATGTCATATGCCCAAGCTTGCTTAGCTACTGGATTTCTAATTCATATTGGTTAGCAACAAGATATTAAGTGCCTAGGAGGGACCGACACAATGAAACTGTGTATCTACAAAGTTACAAATATGTGTTTCAGAAGGCTTGTAAAACAGCATGGTGGGGCTCCACCTTCTACAAGTTTTGAGATTTGAGGCATGTGATGTTTGGAGGGAGGTGAGACTAGGTTTGATAATTAATATCATAAAAAGTTAAAACCGATTTTAATGATCAAGGGCTTGTCTGAAGATTTATTTAGATTAGATGGCATGCATGGACAAGAGACATTCAGTCAGATGCTGAAGGATATCTGGAACAAAACAGTTAACTCCCGCGTTTGATAATTACCATCATATAAAGTGAAAACTGATTTTAATGATCAAGGGTTTGCCTCAAGATCTGTTTAGATTAGATGGCATGCATGGACAAGGGACATTCAGTCAGATGCTGAAGGATATCTAGAGAGCAAAACAGTTGCACTCAGGCATGGGCGTGATTTTCTCCCCTTTAATTAAGAAGGAAACATAAAAAAGGTAGGGGTGAAAGGATATTTTTTTAATGCACCATGGACATGCATACGTCCACAAACTAACACACAGCCAATATTTGTCACCATGACTCAGGAAACTTGAACTCTAACAATAAATTCAGTACTCAAATGTAGTCCAGACTGGCCTTCTGGCTAGTGTATGAGCTAGCTTTAGCTTTTAGAGCTTATGTGCCCACAAACTTTAAGTCCAAAGACTAGTCAACTTTTCAACTGGTTTTAACCTTTGAAGGACAGGCTATGCTGTCCACCAGAGGATGCTCCAATAACCCACAGTTATTGTTACTGAAACCACTAGCACAGATGGAAAAATTGTGTAGGCATCTTAATTTCTGTGCCACTAAGCTGGATCATTGCATTGCTAAATATGTCCTCGCAAACCTTTTAGCACCATTGGCAATTCAACCATGTTCATTGTAACTGAAAGCTGTTTTTGACCACTGTATGGAATTTAGTTACAGGGATGTTTGCCAAACAGTTGTTGGTTCACAGGACAAAATCATGCATATCAGTAAACAGCCCCTAAAATGTTTATTTTTCTTTAAAGCTGATAACAACTGGGGTACTTTCTGTTTCCTTGATATGTTTTAATTTCTGCACTTGTTCAAGCATTTCTTGTTTCTTTTTATTTGATAGTATTCATCTTCTTAATGTGTTTTTAGTTTTGTTAGTGCTGGGAACCTTCAATTGATAGGTAGAATTAATAAAGTTATGTTGAATATGCTTTGTTATAGTTATACTATTTGATCAGTTAAAAATTATACAAATGAAACTATCTACATGTCTGTAAAGATATTCTCTCATCAGTTGCAATTAAAGGATATCAGACGGGATCATCATCATCATCTAAGCCTTGTACCAACTACATGGGATCGGCTGCATGAATCCTGTTTCACCATTCTGTTCTGTGCTGTTCAGAGTGCCATATTCATCGTTAATATATCAGACATTCAGACTTGATGTAACTGGATTTCATCATTTTGAACTGATGCATCTTTACTTGATTCTTGAATTTGTTAGTGAGTGGAATTCTCAATTTTAAAGATGGAATTGCAACAAAAAAAAATGCAGTCTGCTTCAATATACAAGTATTTGATCAGTTAAACAGTTCAAAAGATTGTTTACACAAGTAACTTTCTACAATGCATCTGTAAAAAGACCGCCTCATTGGTAGAAACCAAAGGACATCAGAGCAGGACTAAGTACTCACTGATAACTTATCATCATTTCCAACTGTAGGTAAAGGCACCACCACACAAACAGGTGGGAAAAAAGGTGAAGATAACAAAGGCCACAGTGAGTGGAGAATGCGGTTACCAAATAGAGAAAGAGAAAAAGGTTCGAGATAACAAGATTTCACCTAGAGTATCTGCTGCTCATGTTCTCAATTATCTTAGAATCTGTTCTTTGTGATTGCTTTGAGGGTGAAGTTGAGGCCCTGGAAGAACTATGGCCAAAGAAGTTCAGCCTGCCAAGCTTCTTCGAAAATGACCATATAAACTTATAAGAACTAGATTTCTCAATGTCCCTTTTCATGCTAACATGGTCCTTCTCCAGATCATTGAGTCTCATCCGCAATCGGGCTAGTTCAAGCTTGAGTTCTCTGTTCTCTCGCCTCAATGATGCATAATTGTCTCGAGGAGACATTGCTGCACTGAGTGCACCACTGCTGATCCTCCATGACTGGTACATTGGTTTATGGTCATCATCTGGATAAGAGCAGAGCAAGGCATTCCTGAGTCTCACTTGCTCAAAGTAAAGCACTTGAACAATTGACTGGAGTGGAAGACGCTCATTTTGTGCAGCATGTGCACCTGCTTCCTGTGAGAGCTTTTGGAAATCAATCAGCTTGCACAGCCTCTTTTTCTCAGGATCAGATAAACCCTGATGAGCCTGAAACATGAATTCATAAAGGTAAAGACAAAATAACAAATTATTGGTACAAGATGATCACACTTCATCCTATTAAATCTCAAGATAAAATTTTAATAAGATGCAAATCAAAGACACTTTGTTGTCATGTTGAAAATTGAAGAGAAAGTGTCTAACAGGTCAGTTGGCCTTGTCAACATGTAACTTTTTTTTGATAAATTTGTCAACATGTTACTCCGGTGATAAGCTTAGTGGGAAAAGAACAAAAAGGAAAATAAAAGAGTTAGGTATTGTTATCTTTGCTAGGAAGTTGAACAAATTTGACCAGATAAAAAACCTGTGTTTCTGTAAAATCCAAAACATTTTCCCGTTAAGTGTTTAAGACAGTAGCTAAAGTTATTTTACTTATAAAAAAATCTAAAGCACTTCCTCATTTTCCCATTAAGTGTTCAAGACAGTAGCTAATGTTATTTTACTTACAAAAAATTCTAAAGCACTTCCTCATCGGAAATCTAAATCATTTTCCCCATATTTTATTATAAGAAAGGAAAATGAATGAAGAGATGCCTACTTTGAGATAAATATCAATGGCTCGGTATAGACCATCATGATTAGTGCGTGCATATGCAGGTAAAGAATCTGCGATGACCATAAACTTGGTGAGCTTGAGATTTGCATCAGCAGCAATTTCTGCTAGGTAATTGTCCAATAGTTTGGAAACTTTGAGCAATGAAGATTGAGAAGGAGAACAAGGGCTATCAGATTCATATGCAGATACATCTTCCACATCATCTTCACTATCATCCTGCTGAGAGAAATTTACCAAAATCCTGTGAACAGTGTCAACATCGAATAAAGTATCCCCAGCATGACGGAATGATGGGATCAGAAGATCATCAAGAGTAGCCATTTCCAGTTGTGATGCAATCCTCCTCTCAAGATCAAGTCTGCAAGCAACTGTGCAATCTAACATCACAGCAGTCCGTAGAAGTCCAAAAAGAAAACTGATAGGCACAGCAACTTTTTCTGTAGGCAACAAGCTGGTGATTGTCTCAACCATGAGTCTCTGCTCATTGCCAACAGAACCAACAACCAAATCAACTTTTGGCTGGGTAGATGCATTCCATAAGCTGGGTTTCTTGGCCAAAAACTTCTGAGCATAGTCGACAAGTGAAGCACCAATACTCTCTGGACGCACCCCTCTACATTTCATGGTTGCTATGACTCTTTGATATAAATCAATCCGAAGAACAGAGAGATCTTCAATCCACCAGTCTCCATCACATTTGGCTTGCTTATTCATGTGCAGCCTTCCAGAGCTGCTATACTCCAAGCGTGAAAAACTTGAGGCTATCTGCTCTACACATGCCTTGGATGCTATTGCATCAGTGCATCTGCTGACTATTTTAAGCTCATCAGCAAGAGGAAGCAGGTTTTCACACCACTGCAAGACTTCAACACACATTTCAAGGCTCTTGCAGACAACACTATCAAGATATGCTTCAGCACGAGAACCAAGATTGTCTTTTGAATATTCCTCGGTCATTTCAAGGAAATCAGAAACACAACAGAGTTGAGCAACATTTGAAGACGTAATCTCAAAGTTAATGCCATAGCAGAACTTTGCTGCCAAATCAAATGAATCAGCACCTCCTGGTAAGTTAAGAAGCTCCATCCGGGAAATATCAGAATCTCTATGCTCAGCAACTAACTTCCGGATTCGCCCACTTCGAGAGACAAGAGGGAACTGATTGCTCCAAATTAAAATGATTAGAACATATTTGGCTAGAGCAAGCAAAAGGAGTTATCTTTTATGCAGCAACAAAACTTGTATTTGCAGGAAAATAGTCAAAAAAACTATAAAAAATATCTGAGAGAGGCACTAAAAAATGTGTAATCATAAGAGACTACTTGTACCTATGCACAAATATATATCACACATGTTCGTAAATGCTTGAAACAATTGCTGTGAATTACATGATATTACTTTGAGATGAGACTATTTTCTTAACAAAACTCATTATAATCACTTCCCCATCTAATTGGTATTAGTTTTCCATACGATGAACTTCTTTTTGATCAACAAGCTATCATAAGCATGTCTCCGATCTCCATATAAGGGTTGATTGATCTGAATCAATTTCGTGGCCCTTAATGCTTCCCCAAAAGTGATAGTTTGGGATCTCATGAATCACATCTAATTAGTATCAACGCTCTCTAAGGGAATGATCAAGTTTAGAGTTCTTCCCCAAATACTTTTCTTTTTCCTGAGAAATGATGTTGAGAGAAAACTTGGATGGAATTTGAATCTCAGGGTGGAAAACAGAGCTTTGATTGAACATGAGCAAGAGGACTAAGGAATAAAATGATATATGTTATTATTTTATCCCCAATAATACCTGTCAGTTTGTCAATATCACAGGCCTTACATGAGTGGATAGAATTGGAATCTCAGAGAACTCTGACTGGACATGACCGAGATGACTAAAGAATAAATGATATCTGTTATTATTTTAGCCCCATTAATACCTTTCAGTATGTTAATATCAAAATTCTTATATGATAACAGTAACTATTCTGGTTTGATATTGTTGCATTAGCATGAAAATAGAGATCAGATCATTTCTATTATTAGTTAGGGTTCCTCCTTTCCTCTGTCCAGCATATGGTCATTCATATAATTGTAATTAGACATTATAATTTCTATTATTTCATAATTGAACGATATATTTTACTTATGTCAACTAGTTCAGATTAAATTCATCTAAAATAGACAGATCAAGAACACACATGCAGCATCAACAGAATGGTATTCTCAGTAAATCTTAATGGGAGTCATACAACTTGTAATAGCTGATTACTCGTGTGGGCTTTTTATTTTATGTTATTGGTTATGTTTGTGTTGTTGGGCCTTAAGTTATTAGGCCTGACTTAGTTCCTTTCATTTGAAGAAAACAGACCTTGAGAGTTCGGCAATGAGGGTTTAGAGAATGAGAGTTTCGAACATTACTCTAAACTTTGAATAATTACAAGGAGGCCCTTAGTTGGGCAAGAATTTACACAGAACATAACATAGAAAGGATGGGCCCAGAGTAAGGCCCATTACAGACAAGAACATAAACAGTAAGAAAGAATAAAAGAATAAACAACCTATGGGCCATTCGGCCCATCTTCTCTACATCATTATTATTCATGCGGCATTACTAATTAGGGATAGTAAGTGTCCTTTCATGTAATATTGTTAGGCAGTGTATGCCCTAAGATCCAACAGATGATGTAAACTGATTTTATTTTGAATAAAATCTCAGTTTATTTCTTTATTACATGTGTGGTTGGGTATGAGTCTATGAATTAGCCCTCGATTTGCATTATAGAATTGTGATAATCATTAACTTGGTTTGTGACACTCATAATTGCTATTTAGATTAAATGTTCTCAGCTGGTGAATAAACTTTGGCAGTTTATTTTGACAAGGCTGACACACTTGTGTTACCTTTTGAGGACTGGTTTGCCTCAACCACTAGGGTCAGACTCAAAGTGTGAGTGTGGGTGTTTGTGAAACACTGAACTGGACCATTCCATAATATTCCTGGACTTTAGGATTAGTGGAACATCTGGATAGTTGCATTCAGTCCTCAAACTTGATAATGATAATTAGATCTCAGATCTTTCTGCTTTTGGTATACCAATCAGTGGGATCTTTATGGGGTTAATGTCTAGGTATGCTGGAGCAGTCAGAGAAGGGATTCTGGCAGGAGATCATTGCGATAGGATCTATCACTCTATTAGATAGAGAGAATACCTTTGAATATGCTTTCTCTAATGGATACCAAAAATGGTAGGACCATTTACCAAGGGCAATTTATCCTTTACCCTAAAGGAGAATTCATCCAATGGTGGGTCCCACCCTTGATATCAATCTCAAGTTTAGAGGATCTCTTAGTTTGGTCCTAATTTGGACTCCTGTGAGTCCCATGCCTCTTATTACTCCCTTTCTCACATAGGTACTCTTCATATGCAGGAAATAGCAAGTTATAGATTGTTTTTAAACTGAATTAGACAAGTCCTAGTTGGTTTGAGGCTCTCTAATTGTAAAGAGATATTCCTTACCAGTTTAGGAGAATTGCTTTTAGCAATTTTCCCTTTCTCTCTAGGAATTGAACTAGGGAAGCTTGAGAAGCTTTGAGAGTATTTAAGACTCCCATTGGGATCGCCCTAACACCCTAGACACTCTATTGAAATTTGGCCATAGAGAAAATATAATATTCTATTATTTCCAGCTTGATTATTCACAACTAATTGAACTATTGGGACTTGTATTCATGCTTCAAATATAATATTCTATTATTT